GGAACTGTAAAGTACTGTGCCATTGATCTTGAAGATGCTGGACACCACTCCCATCTGTTTAGAATCTAGGGGCTCACCGGTCAGTTACCCTTGTCATCTCTGACTTCAAGGACAGTGCCTTCCCATCATAAAATGTACAGAGCCTTGGGCTGAAGAGTTAGAGTCCCAAGGGCCAACCTGAGCTAGACCACTATCCCTGTGTGACCAGAGCAAGTGCTGCGTGCTCCCTCCTGAGCCCCAGTGGTCTGGCTTGGGTTTGGAGATTGAATATGACGGATTGAACAGTGAGCACATTCCCTTTGTCTCCCACTCTGCCTTCTGCCAGACTTCATTCCAAGGACTTAATGACCATGACTTTTCTGGGATAGTCTGCAGGAACCCCAGCCCTGTCCCACATCTCAAGAGACATATTCATGCATACCCTCTTGTCATGTGAGGAGAAGACACTACACTACTTGGCCAAAGACCTCTTAGAGTTCATGAAGCCTCAGGTGTCAGCAAGTCATGCCTGGTTTCTTCCCGGCCATCCATGATAGTCCACTTTATAGACAGTGCTAAGCCCAGAGTGGGTAAGCTCCTTGTCAAAGGTCACATGGCTCTGAGTAATGAGATTATAGTTAAAGCCTCTCTCAATTCATGCTATGATCTGGTTTACTGGGGGGAGGAGAGGTTCTTAAAAGGTAGCTGCTTCCACTTAGCTATGGTGGAGCACACCTTTAATCCTAGTACACAGGAGGCAGTGGCAGGCAGATCTCTGTGAGTTCAAGATCCATCTGGTCTACAGAGAGAGTTCCAGGACAGGCTCCAAAAGCTATAGAGAAACCCCATCTCAAAAACAAAGCAAAACAGACAAAACAACAACAACAAATAAAATAAAATAAAATAAAAGTTAGCTGTTTCCTGAGAAGTCTCCTATAACTTAGGTCCTGACATGAGGCCCTAGAATCTGAGATCTGAGACTTCTGAATAGCCTGTCCTGGAGTCTATAGGTGTTCCTAGGCCTTAAACTTCCTATCTTATCTTCCAAATGAGTTGCAGTTAGATTGAGATGATCATTTGTTCCATCTCCAAGGGCAGAGCCCTGGGCTGGACACTTCAGGCCAAGCCCATCTCTACTTGTACATCCCAATGTAGTGAACATATGTGGCCCCTTCTCCCCATACATCAGAATATACAGCAGCCCCGAGCACTGGCCCTTTTAACCCCCACTACCCCTCTGGCACACACCTCAACATGCACAACATGCATTTCTCTAGGCTTCAGTCTCTTCACTGGGAAATGGAGACTGAACTGGGGCATCTGGAGCATTCCTAGCGCAGTGCATCTGAGTGTGGGAGCCATAGAGCCCAGCACACTGGGGATGTCGGGGGCCAGCTTGTGCCTTTGGTGCATGGGGCCAGGTGGGGCAGCTAGCACCAGGGTCTGTATTTTCCATCCTGGCACTGCCATCCAAGGTAGCCTCTTCTTCAATCAAATGTTCTCCAGTCACATTGCTCTGGTTTCAGAGAAAAACACAAGAAGGGCCACCTCCTTAGGCCTCAGTGGCCAAATTGAAGAGACATCCTGGCCAGGATTGGAGGATCTCATCTCTTTTCCTGACAGGAAGCCAAGAGTCAAATTTCAGAAGCTGGGTTAGGACAGAAGGCATCTGGGGGTACACAGGGGGTGAGGAAGGAGGTAGGGCCTCCACCAACTTGTTACCTAGCATCAGGTAAGGATGAAATGCTGGCCTTAGGCAAGTCAGTGTACCTCTGAGCCTCAGTTTATCCATCTGCTGAATGGGTACAGTGCTTTATCTAGAAGCTTGTTATGGAGCTTCAATGAGAAATTGTGGGTGATGGCAGACAGGCTAAAGCTTGTCATCTCCTAGCCACAGTGTTTAGATGGTGGAAAGTGGCAACCTGTTGATCTGGCTCATGGGGTCATGTGACTGGACTTTGGAATCCTGTGAGTAAACATGTGGGATGCTAGAGGAGACAGCCATTTGTGTTTAGGTTCCTGCATCTTCATCTTAGTCCCCAGCAATTCCATGGGACAGGGTCCCACGAGCACCACTCGGCTGGAGATGAGGCCCTTTAGGGCTCAGAGAGGTTTGGTAACTCTCCTGCTTGAGGTCACACAGCAGCTAGGAAGCAGAGCAGGATTCCCACGAGGTCTTCCAGGGAACTTAAACTCCCAGGTTGCTTTATGGCCCCAGGCTTCTGTTGCCAGAGCAACAGGTGTTTGTTCTTTTGTTTTTTGTTTTTTTTTTCCCTTTCCTATTTTAACAACAGCAACGACAACTGAAAGTACAATCAGAGATTGGAAAATAAGATAATGCAAAGTCAAAAAGCCAGTAATCTCAAAGTCAGCTGCCACAGATGATTACAAAACACAGATACGCACAAATACAACCACTGTGACCAGCCTCCTCCAGTGAATGATCAGGGCAAAGTCCAGAGCCTGGGGACCTGTGCCAGACAACAGCCTGTGAGACCAGGCTGGACCAGATGATCTTCAGAGCCCTGAAGCCAGGCAGTTTTTCTCCCTCCATGCTCTGCCACTTAAGAGCAGACCACTTTCACCACGAATGGCTGCCAGACTTCCCAGCCTACAGGTGCCTCAGCCAGACCATTATGGCCTGGCCTCAGCTAGAAGCAGACACTCTGCCATGGGGATGGCAGAGGCTCCCTCCCCAAGGAATCTAGCCCCTATCCTCCACACACCTTGCTTCAGAGCAGGCCGGGGACACTGGGAAGCTTCCAGAGTGGGTGCACATCAGAGGCTTCTGATGGCTTCTGTTTTCCAACTTCAGTTGCCGTTGCCATAGAATTTGACACTGAGTGACAGTCTTGTCACCTAGCTCCTTCAGGCTTCGTGGGGACCCACTATTCAGCTCATTTCACTGCTGGCAAAGCACAGCAGAAACAAGGCAGGGGTTCCAGGTTACATAGCTGGTAGGAGGTGGCCCATGTGGCTTCTTCAGACACAGGCTTGTGCACTGATGGAACTGTTGTGTGCTGGCCCGAGTGCTTTCAGTCACTTTGCTTCCTGCCCAGCCCAGCTGGCTGTGTGACTTGTGCCTCTGACTCTGTCTGGCTTCCCCGAAGAAAGTGATCTCCGAGATGGCTCTCGTGACATTGCTCTGGGGTCAGTGACAGGAGGGAAATGAACTTCTGGAAGGGTGAGGAAAAGCAGAGTGCTGGGAGACTCACACGACACTGGTTTCTAGCCACCTGCTCCTGCCCAGGCACAGTGGCATCAAGAAACTCAGGCCTGAACCACACCGGGCTGGACCCTTGAGTGTAACTCAACACATTCCATCCTGCAAGCTTAAAGCCGGAGTCTGGCTGCTTGTTGAGCAGGATCTGTGGCCCGTGGGGGTCAAGTGTCCACAAGCTGTCCAGAACAGCTCCAGGGGGCATGGGTGAAGGGGAAGACAGACACTCAGGTCCCCTGTGGGCTTTCCAGGTCTGGCAACCCTTGGAAACTGGGTGGAAGCATGCCTTTGAGCATTTTAGCGATTTATTGTTAATTCATTCGTCTTAAAGTTTGCCCATGTTTATTTGTTTATATGGAGTGTGCATGCACCACTACACACATGTGGAGGTCAGAGGACAGCTTTCAGGAGTCTGTTCTTCTAGTATGTGGATCCTGGGGTTGAACTCATGCTGCCATGCTTGACAGCAAGTGTCTGTTTCCTGCTGAGTTGTTTCATCCACATTTTTATTTACCTATTTGTGAAGGTTTATATTTCATTATATGTCTCATGCATGTGAGTGTCAGAGTCCAAAGAGAACAGAGAAGGTGCCAAAACTGGAGTTATGGGCTTGGCCATTTATGAGCTACCCCACATGGGTTCCAGGGACCAAACTGGCCCTCTGCAGCAACAGTATACATGCTTAACCACTAAGTGTAGATCCTATGTGTTTCCTTTTGAGTCGAGATCTTGCTGTGTATTCCTGGCTAGCCTAAAATTTATTATGAAGGGCAAGCCTACCTCAGTCTTGTAGCTCTTCCTGCCTCTGCCTCCAAGTGTTGTGATAACAGGAGCAAGCCATCTTCATGAATCTTCCTAGGAAGAGAATCTGTGCTTATCCCAGCTTTTCAGATTGAAAGGAGATTCAAAACCAATGCTGGTAGGAATCAACTGTCTCCCATTGCAATAACCCAGCATCTCCCCTCCCCCCCTCCTCTTCTCCCTCTCCTCTTTCCCCTCTCCTTTTTAGACAGGGTTTCATTTAGCTCATGCTGACCTCAAATTTACTATGGAACTTGAAGCTAGCCTTGAACTTCTGATCCTTCTGCCTCAGACTCCCAAATGTTGGGATTACAAGCTTGTTTCCCATGCTGCAATGATGTCATTTTTGGTATCCAGTGGCTTCCTCTGCAGGATCAAAGTTAGTCTGTGTCTTTAAAGGACCTTTCTGAGCTCTCCAGATCCTGACCTCTTACCTTGTTCTCATGCTCATGTGCCAGGAGCTCACTCCATCTGGGCACTATAGAGTCATGGGCATAGAATCTGGATTTTGTGGCTAGTATGTCAGCAGGAAAGTTTCTGGCAGCAGACAGACAGATACTTGGTGTGTTTCTTAGTGATATCCCAGTAGTATGGATGAGCAGTTACTGAGCAGAGGTGGGAGTGGCCCCCAACTCAGTTCTGGGCAGGCCTACGCAGGGGGCAAGGGGAAGTGATAAAATGCGGGCTGAAAGGAAACCTGTATAGCTAGCAGGTGTTCTGATGATGGACCATTTCCTCTTAATCCCTCAGCACTTAGAGCTGGGAATGGGAGCCCCAAAGGGATCTTGGGAAGCTAAGATTCCAATTGTGTGCATCCTGAGAGATGGCACTCAGTGTTCAGAGCCATTAAATGAAAGAGGTTTCATGAAAGTTGGGTGTGCATCAGCTGGAGGTGTTAGCAGCTGGACATACTGGGAATTGGAATGGGTCACATACACGGGTGACTCCTGGGAAGAGACTCCCTGATCTCCGGCCTGTTAACAGCAGAGATGTTTGTACTTCACAGTGTGTCCATTGTCCAAAACTCATCTGAGAAGCTGCTGCAGAAATTGCTGCTCTGCTCCAAGCTGATCACTGACCAGGTGAGGAGGAAGCTGGGGTAGGCAGCCACCTATGCAGGTCATGCATGGCCTCTCCTGTGGAACCCTGAAACTTGCATCTCCTAACACTGGACCAGAAAACACTGTGATCCCTACGCCCTGGAATGGCTTAGGAATGCAGGGGTGAGCCCTCAGGTTAGGCTGGAGGGCAGATTCTTGTGCCCCAGTGTGTGACAACCTCCCACCCATACATAGTGCAAACTCACAGAAGGGATGTCTGTTGGAGACAACAGCCTCACTGGGCCCTACTAAAACATCCAGTGGCTCCTAGGAAGGTGGGAAGGCCTGACAACATGGCACATACTCAAAGCTGGCCCAGATTGCCCACAAGGCATGGCCTCACCATACTCCATGGGCAAAGATATAGGGTGTATATGGTCACAGTTCCAGGTGCCTGACACGATGGATTTTAGACACTTTTCAGGTGGCTGAGCACTTGAAGTCATGTCTCTATGATAGTCCCTCCTCCTCCGCAGTTTATGTAACCCATCCATTCATCCATTAATCCATCCACTCACCCACCCACGCCATCATTCATCTACACATCCAACTTCACCTCACCTCCAGTTACATCTATGGAGTACCTACTTACAAGGAACACTGGGTCTTCCTCTCAACGTATCACAGTTCACAGACAGACCAGTAAGTTACATACAGCAACTGCCATTCATTTAGAACCCACCACATGTCAAATGTTTTTACCTACATTAACACCTCATTAGCTTCCTCATTTCACAGGACTACAATGAAGTTCAGAAAGGGTAAGTCATTTATCCAGGGTCACACAGCTAGGAAATCATAAAACTTAATTCAAACCTGGATGGTCTGATGTTACACCCACCTTCTGGGATCTTCTCTAGTATCCAGTGATAAAGGAATGAAGCTTTGAAATAACATGTATCTTAGGGCCAAGGAGTGATGGTAGGATGAGGGAGATGTTTATGGGGGTGTCTCAAAGGAGGTCAGGCCTCAGATGAATATCACAGACAGCAGGAGGGAAATACTGGTGTGTTCATTTTGTTGTATAAACGGACTTGGCATACAACTGTGCATTCCATCAGTTTAAATTATTCTTGCTTAGAAATGGCCAGCTGGCCTGCCACAGGGTCACTGGCATGGTTCCTCATGACCACCAACTCCAGAACTTTCCCATAAGATGTGCTTGCAGCTCAGTCCTCTGTTTTATCAGTTGTGTTTAACACACCCTGGCAGGAAGGCATCTATAAAAAGTACTCAGAAGAGCCCCCAGCCCGGGGCTGTTCTATTGGCTCAGCTCCATTTGGGAAGCAACATTCGCCTCTGACTTGTGCAAATGGTGTATCACTCCGTGCATCCCCAGTATCTGGAGCGCCAGCCCTAGGGCTGCCAGGCCCCAGCTTCCTCTTTTCTTGATAGAGCTACAAGGAGCCCACTGCACAGAGGGGAGCCTGCTGCAGAGAGGGGAGCCCACTGCAGAGAGGACAGCCCACTGCACATAGGGGAACCTAACCCAAGGGATACTCTTCCCTGTGACTGTGCTAGCAGAGCCAGCATCTGAAGTTTGACCCAGGGACTAGTGTCCGTCCTATCCCAGGAGTTGTCAGCCCCTGGCCCCAGCCTGTTGTTCCCTTCTATGTAAGAGCTCAGCTAAGGCCAGTCATGACCCTTGCTGCCTCCTATAGACCCTGTGCCCTTGTGTGGGTACAAACCCCTGTGTGAATATCTTTTGATCTCCTGACAGGACTGGGCCAGGGATTAAATGTCATGGACTGGTGGGTGTGTCTGCCTACCAAGACAGCTTTAATTGTGGACACAGGAATTTGAATTTCATGTCATTTTTTGGCACTGCAAAATGCCTGTTTGGTTTTTGTGTTGGTTTGTTTTGGTTTTCTTTTTGTTTTGTTGACATGCAGTCTTCTGTAGCTTGGGATCCTCTCAGGCTTCTTATGTTGCTTAAGTTCTGAGCAGGCACTCTGCTAGCTGAGCTTCATCTCCAGTGTTTGTTGGTTTGTTGAACTATTTAAAATATTCAGTCTGTTAGGGGAATAGGCAGGGGCTAGCCAGCCCTGCCCTCCACCAGACCTTGTTTCTACCTGCTGGACAAGAGCTACAGCCATCCCTTTAGATGGCAAGGAATGCCCAGATAGAACCTTGTGCCCCGTAATAAGACTTGGGGTCTTCTTCAGGTATTATGGTGACTGTGAATTCTCTGAGCTGGTACCACTTCCCATCATGAGGCAATAGGGGCATGTCCCCTGCCGGGCTGAGCTGCCTGTCTGTTCTTAGGGAGACTCTTGTCTGTCTTGTGCTCGGTGTGAAGAATGGTCTTGTTCTAATGCCTGCCGGTTGCCTCTAGGCACAAAGACCTGTGGCCTGGACCTGTGACAGCTCTGCTGGGGCCACCCAGCACCCTCTCCTCCAAAGCTGCTTCTGAGCTTCCTAAGTTGTTTCCCAAGTCCCAATTGGTTGAGCTGCCTGCCAGTCGGGTGCTGCCTGGCTCTTGTTTCAGGATAGGAACCCACTGCCTCCAAAGTGGCTCTGTCCTTGCCTGTTGGCTATGGGAAACCTTGACCATGGTCCTTCACCCCTTTGGGTCTCAGTTTATTTGCAGGAAACTGAAGGACTTAGGCCAATGTGTGATAGGATCTGTTGAGCAATCAGGAGGCCAGTGAAATGTCTAAGGCTTGGGATACTCAGGGAATACCAGCCAGGCTCCTGCCTGGGGTGTGGTCCAGTGTATCCAAGACTGAGGCTTCCTCCTGGCTGCCCAACTAGAGCTCCTTTGAACAGCAACCCGTGTCCTCACCACCTGCCATCATCTGGGTGATCATTTATCTCCAGTAGGATAGTAGTCAGACCTGCACCAGCTCTGTGGCAGAGGCAAACCCAGACTCTACCACTGAAACAGAGACCCAGTAAAAATGCCTGAGGAGGTGGGTGGAGGTTGCAGGCACCTGAGAATAGAGGTCATCTAATCTGGGCTTATTGGGAGGGGTTGAATGTTTGAAGGAGGAGCTGTCAGCGTTCCACAGCTTCCTACTGAGCATGGAGCTAAAAAATACCAGTGTTTTTGTGTCGAGCGCTATTGCCTTGCCTGCAAGAATGACGCTCAACAACAGGATTCTTCTGCAGCTATGTTTATTGCGCGGCTTATTACAGCAAGTTGAGGGAAGACTCCGAGGAGGCTCTGCTTATATATGCTCAGAGGAGTCGTGTCCGTTACTGACAGTTGCAGCCCACAACGCTCGTAACGGTCACCCCATGACGTGGATCGCGCATCTGTGCCTTGCTGGCTTATGGACAGGAAACTGTCGCCATCTTCGGGAATGGCACCGGTGGCTCTCTACATCTCCCCCTTTTTTGTTTTATAAATGCAACAGGCAAGAGTAGTGGTCTGATCTCCAGTAATGAGATGGATATTGTAATGACCCTGAATCCTGGTAGTCAGCCAAGTCGGTGCCATACCCGTCCGGCATCTTTTCCCTGGAGGTGGGGCCTTGGACACCAACCCACATGCAACCAGACTTGCCCTTCTCGGAGCTGCTCATGGCCAGAGTCAACCCGGAGTGCAGTGCTAAGCCAAACAACCTGAGCGTGAAGAATTTATTACAGTAGGCTAAACTAAAGAAGCACCTGTCTGCGTGCAATGGGAAAAAACCCGCAGAGCGTTAGGGCTGTTTCTGGTAAAAAATGGACACCCTAACCTGGTGCAATGTCATAGAAGACTCAGGGTGCAAGGGCTGTCCTATTGGACAAGTAATGTCCATTTTTAAACATGCTTAGCCACACAGTGGGAGAGGAGCCTATCTCCATAGCAGCTAGGGCTTGAGCGATAACCACTTTGTCATGTGTCTGTTGAGCACGTAGCTTACACACCAACCAGAGCAGGAGCACCACCCCACCACATAACAGCAGGCCAAACCCCATTACACCCGCCCACTCCTTAAAGTGGGAAAAAGCGGTGGAGATCCAGGAGAACGATCCTTCTGATAGAGAGGCGTCCACATGGGTGGAATTCACATGGACGATGGCCATTCCGAGTTGGTTCATCAGGCTATCAAATTCTCCTGTCCATTCACCTAAAAGACACTGCTTATGTTCCCAAGGTTGATGAGTACTATTACCATCCTCCTCAAAAACAGGAAACATCTGAGTTAACTGCAAGGCTGCTTCGTTCAGCTGTTTTGAATGTAGGATCACCTGGTACTCTGTTTCAGGTGGTCTGGCTTGCTCAAACCACATTAGTCTGGAAGGAATCCACAGCTTTTTATTTCCTGTTGAAACAAAAATAGAAATCCTTTTCCCCAGTAACTTGTTCTTGAACTTAAATTTTGGAGTCAAAGCACTTTTAAAATATATAAATTGAATTAATCCAGCAACATTTCCTTTAACAGTTGTTTCCTCAGCAGTCAAACAATACAAAGACAATATAATACCGTACAGTATCCAGATTCTCTCCATCTGTGGCTTTTTTATTATTATGTTTATTTTCTATTTTATTTTTTTATTTTTATTTTTATTTTTTTGATCAGTCTCTCGGGGCTCTTTCACTTTCTCTTTGCTAGCCTTTTTCTTTTTGCACGCACCCAACTTTTAGTCACGTTCTGCTTCTGACATGCTTTCCTGATAGCATGTCTATCAGAACTTACCTTATTTTCAAGTTCTGCTTCTGACATGCTTTCCTGATAGCATGTCTATCAGAACTTACCTTATTTTGTTACCTGTCTGCCACAGTTCTGAATCCTCTCCAGCTGACTGAAGGGTCCCCCTTGTGCCGCTGATGTCAGGTTCCCAGGTCTCAGCACCACTTGTCAAGTGCTATCGCCTTGCCTGCAAGAATGACGCTCAACAACAGGATTCTTCTGCAGCTATGTTTATTGCGCGGCTCATTACAGCAAGTTGAGGGAAGACCCTGAGGAGGAAAAAGGGCTCTGCTTATATATGCTCAGAGGAGTCGTGTCCGTTACTGACAGTTGCAGCCCGCAACGCTTGTAACGGTCACCCCATGACGTGGATCGCGCATCTGCGCCTTGCTGGCTTATGGACAGGAAACTGTCGCCATCTTCGGGAATGGCACTGGTGGCTCTCTACATTTTTGCCCCTGCTCTGCCTGGGCCCTGCAGATCTTACTATGATTGCATGGTTCAGTGAGGGGCTAAGAGCATAGTTCTCAGCCAGGCTTGCCACTATCATGGTGGTCACTGGTGATAGCCCTCCTGCATTGTCTGCCCACAGGTTCAAGTCCTGGCTTGAAGTGTGTTACAGATAGAACTGCAGCTTTTTTGTTCTGTAGTGCTTTTGCTTGTATTTTGGTTGTTTTAAGGAATAATGTAGTCCTGGCTAGCTTGGAAATTGCTGTATAGCCTCACACCTTTAATGCCAGGAGGTAGAAGGAGGTGAATCACTGTGAGTGCAAAAACTAATTCTTTAGTGGGCTCCTCCCAGAGGGAGCACTTTACAGTGAGAGGAACTCGACTTTCCATACTCAGTACTGGGCATTGATTGGACCAGTCACAATCTGCCTGACCCAGGGCCTCTAGGGCTTGTTGGGAGGATTAAACAGGAAGAGAAGTGAGGATGGGTGTCCAAAGTACTATTTACTGAGTCCACTCCTTGTCCCTTAGCAGGTCCCATTGTTCAGATCTCACTCTTACCCCCTGGAAGCCTGCTCTAGAGTCCTCAACTACCTACAGAATGTGGGAGATAGACAGTAGAGAAGGCAGTCGAGACTCTGAAATGCCAGGAGGGCTGCAACCCCCTCCTAAGCAGGCAAATGGGCGCCAGCTCCTGACACTCAGCTTTTTGAACACAATTAGATTAAATTTTTCCCGTGGAGGGAGGAATGTCTCTGGCCTGCCTGGGCCCAGCTGTTCCTAGGAATGTGCTGGGAAGGAAACATAGACAGGCCTGAGCAAAGCAGTTACCTGGTAGGCAAGAATAGCTCCTTGCTCTGGGAGATAGCTTTCCTCTTGGACTGTTTATCCTGGTATATCTGTGGGTGTTCCAGGCTGTCCTGGGAACACTGGAGGAGGAGAAACAATAATTGCCCTTGTAGTGTTCAGGCAGGCCTTCCCCCAGGCCAGGCCTCTACTGTGGCATCTCAGACTCCAGCTCTCTGATGCATTCAAGGTTTGCTTTCCTCTTAGGGAGACTGTGTACTGCTGAGACCAGAGGCATCTCAGCATAAAAGGTCCCGGTCACTCCTCATATCTACACCTGGCATCTTGGCAGACTGGAACCACCATTTCCTCTTAACTCCCCAAGTAGTCCTTGAGTCTCTGTGAGCATTAATTCCCACTACTTGCATGCCACCTGGGATGGGGAGATCACCACCCTTGAGTAGTCCTTCCATTCCCCGGATGGTGTTGTGTCAAGCTGTGCCCAAAGCTACCCTTTCAAAGGGGCTTCCAAACCTTCCCATAACAGAACTGTCACGGACTGAAGGGGTCCTCATGGGAGGCCAAATGCCTCTCCCTTAGCCCAGTCCCATCTCCAGTCCCTGGAAGAGTGCAAGGTAGAAGTGGGGCTCTACTCAGCAAAGAGGATAGAATGTGAAGGTCCTCAGAAAAGAGTGGGGGACTTGTTACGAGTAAGGTTTTTCTGCCGGTCTGGTCCCACCTCCATGCCAGCCCCAAATAACACACTGAGACTCTGCATTTGATATAATGCTATTGGCCAGTTACTTATTTCTTATTGGCTAGCTCTGTCTTTAAGTATTAACCCATTTCTATTGATCTAAGTATTTCCACATGGTCTCATCTTACGGGGAGTGGGGCCGGTGTCTGCTCTCCCCAGTCTCTCCATGTTGACTCCTCCTTACTACTTCCTCGAATCCTCCTTGTCTCCTAGTCCCACCTATCCTGCTTTCCTATTGGCCAACAGTGCTTTATTCATTAACCAGCATGAGGAACATATTTACAGAATGACATCTCCCATCAGGGGACCCATATGTGGATGTGTAGATTCAGAGGAGAATGGGTGGGAACAGCCTGCATTCCTTCTGCCCTGGTTCCCTTCCCCCTGGGTTTCCCTCCCCAGGACTGCAGGGACATAGTAAGGCCTGTGCTGCCCCATACCCTAACCTGTCCCTACCCATTCAGCTGTTCCAGCCCAGCTGTCCTCATCCAGGTGCTTGGGAATAGCTCCCTTCATTCCATGGAACCTGTCTGGCCTTGAGGAGAAGAGGGAGGCCAACTTCCTGCCTCTCCTGAATCTTCTAGCTCCCAGGGACATGGGGAGTTTTGCTGTGGAGGGGCATGGTGCCTCACACTGGCTTCTGTGGCTTTTGTTATTTAGGGTGACCATCATGAACACTAGGAAACAACCTGGGCATCCCAGGGTAGACTACCATGTGGTTCATGGGATAGGGATTTTAGTGCAGCATCATGGGAATTTTTTGAAAGATTTTCCTGGGCTGGGCCTGTAACACCCCCCCCCTCAGATTCTGAAAATGCTACTTACACATGAATTTTTGGAAGGAATGTATAGCCCCCAATTATGAATAGGTACTGATCAATAGTATAGATTGCCATGAAACATATAAGATTGCATTTTTGTGTTTTGGGCAAAGGCTATTTTGCAGAGATTATGCAAAACCCTCTGCCTGGCATGAACACAGTTTTGTTACAAAGCACACACAAGAAGTTTAAGATGGTGGCAGTTGCTATAGGGCTATGGGAGTAGGAGTCCACGGCTGACATTTGTGTTTCTCTATATTTGTTGGATGTTTGGTGATATGTGTTTATTCCCTTTGTCAAGAAGCCAAGCCCCTTCCAGCCTCAGCATCTGGGAATATCCAGCTGTGACCCTAGAAAGGCACACCAAGCTGGGGAGCTAGCCCTGGGTCTCACTTGCTAATTTCTTGGCCTTGTAACTTGTGTTAATGTCTCTCCAGGTGGTTCCTAGAGCCCAGTGTTATGGAGGTGAAAGCCTGCCTGCCCTGTGTAGAAACATCTCTCTGGACCAGAGGTTCACACATCCTAGCTGTGTGACTTTGGGTCAGACATCCAACCTCTCTGTGCCCCGGCACCATGTAAAGCAGGCACAGTGCTAGCTGCTCCTTTTTGAGTGGGCTGAGATGACTGGCTCTGGGGATGATGGCACTGTTTTTCTGTCCTGTTGTGCCCTCCATTGGTCTCTAGGCTGCTTCCATCATCTCTTCCCTTTCCCTCTCACTCCAGGGAGCTCCAGGACCTGCAGGATGGGGGCAGCCTGCATCAAAGTCACCAAGTACTTCCTCTTCCTCTTCAACTTGCTGTTCTTTGTAAGTATGTGACTCCCAAGGCATCCAGCCCTCTCAAGCCCCAGGCTCTGGTCAGGTACTAGGTGGGATGTGGCTTGTGGGTTCCTAAGAGAATCACGATGGTGAAATGGATTCTCCTCTCCAGGTAGGTTCTGACAAAGCAAAGGCTCCTGTCCAGAGCCCTCTGCCTGGGCTGGGGGTAGACACATCCTCTCCCTCTAAGACAGACTGGTAAAAGAAAGCCTCTCCCTCAGTATCTCTGGTGTTCTTCTCCTACCCCTCACCCGTTGCCTATTACAGCTCTGTTGGCCAGGCTCCCAACACCCTACCTTACACTCTCAGAGGCCACAGGGGACATCCTTGCCCCACACACCCCCCCAGACCCACTGAATTCCCTGCCACAGGCTGGCCCAGTTGTGAGCTCCGTGGCATGTCTGGAGCTGGTTTTCCTGGAGCCCTGGGCTTCCCCTCTGGCCTGGAACTGATAGTCCTGCCTTGGTGTTGCCAGACCCATGGTGTGCACATGGGCGTGTGTGTGAGTGGGCACACATGGGCATGCACTTGTATGTATATGCTTGTGTGTGAATCGTCTGAAGGGACTTCCACAGCCCCAGAGTCCTAGTAGGGCTGTGACTTCTCCATACTGGTTCACTCTAAATAGTTTTAGGATATAGATTATGTACAGCAGGTTTTTATGCTTTGTGATGTCTAGATTCTTATCCTTGAGAGGCAAGGGTTAACTCCCTGCCTGCTTGTGTTGGGGTTTCTCTGAAGTATAAATGAGTTACTTATAGGGGGAAATTTTATATTGTAAGTGCAAGGATTATGGGAACTTTGGACTTTCACAAAGAATCCTTCTAAATTCCCCTTTAAAACTTCATCCCAGTACATGGTACTTACAGGAGTGTTCCTAGTACATGTCCAATCCATACATGTATTCATACATTTATGCACAGGTGGGCTGTCCTGATATCCTCCACTGCAACGAGGGCCTGGGTCCCAGAAACCACCATGCTGGGTGTACAGAGTGTGAGTGGTGCCTTCCCCATCTGGCAGATGGATCCCTCCCAGCTGGCTTCTAGGGAACAATTATATGGGCAGACAGAGCAAGTGGTTTTGTGGACACTGGACTCCTGGTCCAGTGCTGGTAAGGCCAGCATAATATTGCTGTATCTCAGGCCTTGGAAACTAGAACAAGGAGTCAGGGTTCATGCTTGGTGAGTCAGCAGGACCTGGGATGAAGGGCACAGATTTTTTCTCTCTCTCTATGTCTTCTATGCAGTTTGAGAGATACAGTGGAAAAGATCCACGAGCTACTAGAAAATGAGAAAAAAGGTGGCTTGGTCTGGGCCTCTCTCTGTGCTTCTCTGGGCTGACTCATAGAACCAGAGGCCAGAGAGCTGGCTTGGCTGGTGCTAAGTGCCTGTGTACTGGCCTAGGTGCCCATCTAGCTGGGCAGGAGAAGTGAGTGGAGACAGTGCTTATTTATTCCTTCCCTGTCACTCCTCCAGCACAGGGCCACAGATTCTGAGTTTGTGACTTCCACAGTAAACATCTCCAGAATGCTGTATCTTTACTGAGCATGTGCGGGCCACTCCTACTCACTCACTATTTCCTAGACATTGCCTAGACCATTAGAGGTAATTTAAAGTAGGAGTGAGGTTGGAGTTGGCACTTGGTTGGTGGTAGAGTGCTAGGTACTAACCACAAAAGACCAGGCCAAAAGGAAAGGGAAGGGCAGCCTAGCTGTGGTCACATGTGGCTGGGGAGAGAGGGGCCCTAGCTGAATCAAAAGCTTAGTTTCTGCTGTGCTGCCCTGCTGGCATGATCTGCCTACCATTCCTCCTCATGCTGGGGTTATAGCATGCATTCACAGCATATACAGCACACACAAACTTTTATGTGAGTGCTGAGGATTTGAACTTAGATCCTCACCTTGCAGGGCAAGCTCATCTACACATTGAACCATCTTCTCAACTCTTCAGGAGGTTTTTCTAGTAAGAGAACAAATAAAGTCATAAATTAGAGTATTAAAAATAATTCAAGGATTTTTATCTATTTTATTTAATGATACAAAAAAACAAACTCTGATTTGATGTATATTCATATAGAAATTTTCTAGAATGTTCACAACTCAACAGACTGGCAGATCTAGATGAGCAGCTGTGGTCCTTATTTGGAACATGCTATATGAGAATAGAGTACTAGTTTGCTTTATGCTGTTATGATAAACACCATGACCAAAAGCAATGTGGTGGGAGGGGGGGTATTTTGCCTTACACTTCTAGGTCACAGTCCATCATTGAGGGAATTCAGGGCACAAACTCAAGGCAAGAACCTGAAGTAGAAACCATAGAGGAATGCTGCTTGCTGGCTCACTCAGAGGATCGTGCTCTGCTAGCTTTGTTACACACTGCCTGGGGAATGGTACCACCACAGTGGACAGAGCTCTCCTGCATCAATTAAAGACCAAGCCCCACATAAGTGCTCACAGGCCAAATTTGATCCAGGCAATTCCTCCAATGGAGCTTTCCTTTCAGATGACTCTAGGTTGTATCAAGGTGACCATACTAACTGGGACAGACATCCAAATATCATTCCAATCCATTTCTTCCTTTATACTCTGAAACATCTTCTTTAAGCTGTTTGAGGCCATGGTGCCTGAGGTCAGCCCACCTTTCATCCAGTCAGGTTTGGTGTTCAGGGCTCCTGCACATAGAACTTTGAAGGTGCAGCCTGGGGAGACAGGCAGGGCCAGCTGATATGAAGTGAGCTCAGAGAACTTTTCAAATACATTAGTATTTCAAATGCATCTGGTAGGTGGGTTCCAGCAAATCAGGGGTGGAGGATCTCTACTGTAGGCTTCTGATGTCTGATGCTATCTGATAACATTCTTAGTGTTTGGGTTAGTGGAAGTTAGTGCTTATATGCTCCAAAGAGATTTCCCTAAAAGTCATAAGGATGTTAGATCACACACAGGGTGTGCAATAAATGGCTGTTTAGAGGACTAAAGACAACAAAGTAATTTGCTTTCAACTATAACATCCCAGCTCTCCACAACCACAGTTCTCATCCTTTAATTACATTTGGAGACACTTCACCTTGTTGTGGCTTTTTTTTCCCCTCTGGAAACTTCAGCTCATGGTGGGAGCAGTGTGTGTGTGTGTGTGTGTGTGTGTGTGTGTGTGTGTGTTGTACCCTGGACTTTCTCAGGAAGGAGGAAACATAGATGCATCCTTCTACCCTTCCCTCCCTTGCTTGGGCCTGGGGGAACTTTCTGACCTACCTGTTCTGGGTTTCCACTGAATGCCCCTCTCCTTGCAGATCCTGGGAGCCGTGATCCTGGGCTTTGGGGTGTGGATCGTCGCAGACAAGAGCAGCTTCGTTTCTGTCCTGCGTAAGGCACCCCCTGTCCTTGAGGGGAGGGACATGTGGGGCATAGCCAGCTCCTGTGGCTGCTGCACAGGGGCCTTTGCCAGGGTTCTAGGACAAATTACTGCTCACAGACAAAGCCACTATTGTCTGTAGATCCATGGGTGACTGGGCTGGGGGTGGAGGAACTCATTCTCTTCACCCACAGGAAAGCCTCTCACAACCCTGTCCCTGTATTTGACAGCACAGTTGCAGTCGATTCCCACTTTAGAGGGCCATAGGAAAGAGCCAGGAATGGCAGACAGTCAGGTGCATGCAGGGTCCTAATCCCAATTACCCTGTTCTGCTCCCACCGGAAGAATGAAGGAACACAGCCATTGAGACACTGACTGAGGTTCACACAGCTCCTGATTGTGATTTGCAAGACCCAACCCCACGACCTCTGGTCCTGAATACAGCGCAGGGTGGGGTGAGCCTCCATGCAAGTCCCCTTCTGTTCTTCAGAAGGAGAGGTGACCATGGATTGGCCTAGGACACAGTGCCTAACCTCCTTGCCTCCTCCCTTGGGAGGCCCTCATGACTGGCTGTGTTGGCCGTTCCCAGTTCTGGGTGGGGAGGGGTGGAGCATGTCAGGAGCACTCTGTGCCAGCCATTCCCCAGTGATTGGCAGGCCCTGGCCCTCTTCACTTTCAGCAGCTGTCTCAAGCAGCTGGATTGGACTCTGGCCAATCTGACAGCTGTTTGATTTAAATGAGACAGAACCTGGCTGGGAAAGAGAGAGGAGGGTCTACACCTGTTGAGCAGGTTCCCAGGGTCAGGTCTTGCTCCAGGAGTAGAATGCAGGCATGATCCTGCCATGAACTGTCAGTGTCTGGGTTAGGGTTGGGTGGGGTTCTTGTGCCCACCCACACATTCCAGTGCCCACCTAGAGGGACAAGCTCTCCATAGACCTGGTTTGGCTTAATGGGTCCAAACCACACCCACCAGGCACTGTGCCAAGGTTCAAAGTCTGTAGGCCACCTCATTCCTTCCTGCATCCTGCCCTGTGTGATCAAGCCTTAAAGGCTTCTGACCCTCCACAGCTCTGTAAATTCCAGGCCCAGGTCACACCCATCACACACCTACCTACTGCTCCCTGTGTTTATAACAACTGCAGACAGGGTTAAGAGTGAATCCTGAATCTGGGGTCAGTTGTCACAGATCTGCTGGCTACCAGCTGTGTGGTCCTTGGCAAGTTATTTTACCTCTCTGTACTGCTTCATCTACAAAGCAGGAATGACAGCAATGTGCCTCTAGAGATTGTGAGACTTTGGAGTCTCATTTTAAATCGGGGCATGGGGGTTACACACCTGCAACCTCAGCACTTGGGAGTTAAAGGCAGGAGGATCAGAAGTTCAAGACTGTCCTCTGCTACAGAGAAAGTTCGAGGCCAGCCTGAGTGCCATGAGGCTCTGTCTAAAACAAGCCTATCAGAAAGATCTGTCCTTTCTATGTGAAGCCTTTTGGACCACTTTGAGTGGGTTGTATACTACAGTTCCATCCTTATGACCATGAGACACTGCACAAAGTCCCATGTTCCAGAGGAGGAAGGAGGAAGTACTTTGCCACAGCTCATGGCATGCTGGCAGAGATTGGCCACCTGAATGGGTGCCCAGTCCCTTTAGTTTGTATGGCCTACTGTTTACCCTCCTGAGCCAGGCACACTCTCCCGCTATACACAGGGCAGGGGCCACCCTAGGATAGGCACACATCAGTTGCCAAGTCAGGGTGCTCAGATTCAGGAAGATGGAGACTAAGTGGGAACAACAGGTCTTGGGGTCTCACAGGGGGTCTCACAGGGCCAGCTCCTTGTACCTCAGCTTTCTTGAGCCTCAGGAAAGCTCCTAAAGAGACCTGGGTATAAATTCTACCTCCCCAGACAGTGCTGTGTGTGCAAAAAGCTTTAGTCCAAGGGCCTTGCTCAGGGCTGGTGCATGGCACCCTTCTTGTCCCAGCCAACCTGTCTACTGGAACCCAGACTGGGGAACTGCTAGCCTCTCCTCATCTCTGTGACCCCCTGAATGTGAGGACCTCTACTTGGGGAGTTCTCACTCACCTCAGGGGACTTTCCCAAATTTCTTGGGGCTCTGAGTGGAGCTGGAAAGAAGTTGGCCTCAGGACCATGGCAGCAAGGAGGGTTTTCTTGAGTTCTGGAACATTACGTAAGATCATAGGGCCTCCGGTTATGCCCCCACTCCCACCCCAGCCCTGCTCCAGATGCTTCTGTTTCCAAGGACATTGTCCACTCCACACCACCCCACAGCTAGCATCTTGGTGGACAAGCAGTAAGAATGGCCAAGTAGGTCTATGCCACCCTTGCTGGAGGGCCTGAGTTGGCCCTGCCTGTGCCTTACCTCTAGGGGACCACATGAAGGATTCCTTCTCTCTCCAGCAGAGCTTGGCCCTGTATGAATCTGGGTCTCATGGTAGCATGACAGAATGATCAGTTCATGCCCAGGTTGTAGTAAGACCTTGTTTCAAACAGAAAACAAAGCAAACACAAAAAATCCCCCATCATTGCATGATGGCACCCCTTTAGTCCCAGTAGAGGCAGGCTAATATCTGTGAATTGGAGTCCAGCCTAGTCTACATGGTGAGTTCTAGGACAACCAAGGCTACATAAAGAGACTCCATCTCAAAAGAAACAAAACAAAACACAAAAGAGTCTCCCTGTTACTTCTGCCCTCAGTCTTCTGACCACAGGCCCCACCTTCCCTCATGAGATCTGCCCAGATCCCCAGTGCCATTCCCTGGTGGTTTCCCATTTCCCCCACAGGCCCACCCTTCCTGGACATGTTGAAGTTCCTGCTCTCACCTCTGTACCTGCTTTGGCTTCTGCTACCTACAAAGCATACTAGACCCCTGCACCAGCATCTTCCCACCCTCCAGCCTCTCCCTGCACCATGGTCCTGGCCAGCATGGACATCTGTAGGTCTTCAGGGTCCTCAACAGAACCTCTGTGGTGTCTGCCTCCTGACCTACATGCTCCTCCAAATGGCAGGCCTCCCAGGAAATTCAACCCTCAGCCCCACCCTTCTGCTTTCAGAGGCTCGGGGTTCATGGGAAATCAGGTGTGAGGTGTAGAGAACAATAAGGAGGAAAAATAATCTTTGGCTGGTTGAGAGTAGAGTGCAGCTGTACTCAGGACCAGTATCTGGTGGAAACGGTGCTGCCCCTACCCCAGCTCCTGAGAGTCAGGCAGTAGTCCTAGACTCAGGATGCCTTTGCCCTGTGGCTCATGGCTCACTGGGTGGGTGCCCTTCTCCTTCAGAAACCTCGTCTAGCTCGCTGCAGGTTGGGGCCTATGTCTTCATCGCTGTGGGTGCCATCACCATGCTTATGGGGCTCCTGGGCTGTATCGGTGCTGTCAATGAAGTCCGCTGCCTGCTGGGGCTGGTAAGTCAGGGTCCTGAGCCTGTGGGGGGCCAGATCTCCAGGTGGGGAGTTCTTCCTGGGATGGGGTTAGGCATCCTTGGGCCCATAGCTAACTCTGTATCTCTTTGTCCCTAGTACTTCGTCTTCCTTCTGCTCATCCTCATTGCACAGGTGACCGTAGGGGTCCTCTTCTACTTCAACACTGACAAGGTGAGTGAGAACCCTGCCCACTTCCACTGAGTGAGGTCTGGTGAGGCAGATACCTTGGGTATGGGGCTGATAAGAAGCCACTCAGTTATCATAGACAACCCAAGAGGTCATAGACAACCCCCTGCACAAGGACACTGTCCCCCCTCTAGGTGACCAAGGCTGTGAGAGTGGCCAGACAAAACTGTCTCCCCTACTGGAGGGCCAGGGTTGGCCTTGGCAGTGCCTCTGCTCCTAGGAGGCCCCCTGGTGGCACTTGTAATTGAATGTGGGCAGTAGAGGGATGGTCAGAGCCTGTGATGGAATCTCAAATTGTTGTATGGCCTTAGACTAGCCACTCCCCTCTCTATACCTGCCTTACCCTCAGTAAGCAAGGACTGGTGTGAGGATTCACAGAATCTACCAGTGCATGCCTGGATGAGCAGCTGACACATGCAAGGCATTTTGTCACTAAGGCACATTTTAGCCTGTGTCAAACACTCCCGCTCTGCCACAGATGAGGCCAGGGAGGGCTCTGTTACAAAGGCAGACACTAAATGTTTAGCTCTCAGGATGGAAAGTCAGACTCGCTGTAGCTTAAGCCCAAGGATATTATGTGCTGCTGACTTCTCCAAAAGTTTGGTTTAGAAGCTCAGAGACTGGTCACTGGGATGGATTTTCTGGAGCATGAAACCTCATGGTTACAAGGTGGCTGCCACAGCACCAGGCAAAGCATTTGTCTGCCTGTGGCCTGAAGAAGAGAGGGCAATGCAGCCAGGACTTTTCTCAGATAGCCTCCCTGCACTAGATTGCCAAGGATCCTGAAATAAGCATGAGGCTTTCAGACTGGCTGTTGGGAATCGTGACCATCCAGTGCTCAGGTCTGGGTACCTGTTGCATATACTGGCACAATATAGAAGCTTCCATGTTGACAATGGGGAAACAAATGGTTTTTATTGAGATAGGGTCTCACTATGCAGACTGGCCCAGAACTCAGGGATCACTTGCCTCTGCCTCCTGAGTGCTGGTATTAAAGATATGTTCCACTATGTCTGGAGAAGTGGATGCTGAGGAAAAACACTGATCACAGTCACCTGGACCCCAGAATCTCTGTTGCTGGATCCACACAGGCTCAGTGCTGACCTTGTTATATCTGAAGTGTCATTAGTCACCAGCCAGGTCATGTGAGACAGGGTCATACCCAGGTTTCCATCCTACCAGTGGAGAAATCAGGGAGGCCCTGGCTCTCTGACTCCCTTCAGAGGCCCCACTGGGGCCCAGCTGAGCCCCAGGACCCCACTCTCACCCTGCCATGCAGCCCGGAGTGCAGTCAAGGGTTTCCTGTGTGGCTGCAGGTGCCTTTTGGAAGCCGAGAATATTGGTCCAACATTCAGCTTTACAGAACCGAGAAGGAGTTGGGTACTGTGCTGTATGTACACAGTTTGTCATTTGGTCATTTCTTAAAACAATGCAGGAGATCAGAGAGGGGAAGAATCTCATTTTCAGAGCTGAAGCACAGAGAGTTTAAGCAATTTACCCATGTTCACACAGCTAGTGAGCAGCAGAAGCAGGATAGGAATTCAGGCTTCAGTGGTCATGCTGATAAAAAATTTACCACAGTTGTTCCTTACCTCAGTCTACTTTGGTTTATAACCCACCTCAGCCTGTTCACCAGGTGAGCTGGGCACAGGGCTCCCAGCATGGGCATAGTGCAGTTGCAATCAAAATGAGACAGAAGAGAGCCTGAGCCAAGGGCAGAGCTGCTGTTTCTGAACCAGGACAGCTGAGGGCTGACCTGAGTCCTGAGCCTCTAGGTGGCCAAGGCAAAAGAGGAAACGGTGCAGTTGTTAGATGAAAGAAAGCTCACTTGGATGTCAGGCAGGAAGCCAGTGGTTATGGGGAGGGAAAGGCCCTACCCATCCGGGTGTAGGGTCAGGTACTCATTTCTCCCTTGTGTGGCTTTTCTGGGACCCAGTCAGTCAGGGTACACTGCAGAGCAGCTAGGTAGGAAGCTGGTGGCCTCTGCAGGGCGTCTGAACCACACCCACCCCTCATGGTGATGACAGCAGCACCCTCTGGCATCAACCCCATGTCAGGGGCCAAGTTGGAACCTAACCTGTTTTAGATTTACAAACATTTCCCATACAAGAAACAGAGTTTCTTTCACAATTGCCAAGGTGACTTTGGCCATAGTCACACACATTTCAACAGCCTCAGAGTGACTTCTCTGGGGTCCTTCTGACTCCCATCTGTGGTAGAAGCCCAGGAACCTGCCTCCAGGTGACTCCAGGCTGGCTCAAGAGTCAGGCCTTGGCTCTTTTCAGTGCTGTGTGTCCCACAGCATTTCCCATGCCATCTGGCCACCTCAGGCTCCCACCTCACTCCTTCCTGCCCAGAACAGGGATCCCCTGGGCTGGGCGAGGTTCTGCCCCTACACCCCTGAGTTGGAAAGAGCATACTTTCCACTCTAGGCACATTGTAAATCACAGCAGGAGACTAAACATCCCTCCATGCTGTTTATTCCTGCAGACAGGCACAGCTGGGGAGGTGGGGCAGGGTTTCTCAGGCAGAGGAAGAGGCCTTCCAGAAGATGGGCTGGCCTCTCTGTCCCCAAGGGCCCAACAGAACCTGGTTCTGAGACCCTGGGCCACAAGTCCTCCAGCCTCGTTCTGCCTCAGCTTCCTCTTCTGAGGAGTGATGCCTCGGGCCACTCTCCCTTGGGTGTGTCAGGAATGTCCTCTGAGACAGCAGCTGCAGCCAGACAGTGGGAGTGTGGGCCACAAGCAGGAGACCAGGCCCTCTGTGTCCCATAGCTGGTGTCCCTGAGGAAGTCAGTGGGAACAATTGTGCTAATGCCCGACACCTTTGTGGGCTATGACATGTCACCAACCCTTTCTGGTTCTGAGGCTGGGTTTCATATACTCCATGCTTGCTTTGGAGTTACTTTGTCACCAAGAATAACTTTGAACTGCCACTCTCAAGTGCTAGGAGTACAGTCACATCCCCCTCCTACTCCTCTCCCACCCCCTTCTACTCCAAGTGTCATTCAGTCTGGGGATGAGATCCAGGGCTTTGTGTTGGTCAGGAAAGCCCTTAGCCACCAAGCCACACCCCCAACCTTCCCAGGCCCTCTATAAGATCTGAATGCCTATAGGCCTCCTCCCAGTGCAGTGTGAACAGTGGTAAGGTGGTGCACAGCCCAGGGCCTTTGGCTGGCCAGTGGACATCAGGGCGCCACTGACTTGGAGGCTTTGCTGGGCCTGATGAGGTTTCATAGAGAGCAGCTGCACCCACTGTGGATAGGCCAAGCTGAGTAAGACTCAGGGTGAAGTCACAGGGACTTAGGGTACAGTTGCCAGGCAGTGTTTGACCCAGGCCTGGCATTCGGGGGGGGGGGGCCTGCTCCTTGGCAAGCTCTGATGCTGGTTGCTGTGTGGCTTCGGTGAAGTTACACACACCCTCTAAGCTGTATAGATGTCTAGGCCTGGGATTCTGCTGGTCCTCCCCAGGGCAGTAGAGAGTAAGAGGGCCAGGGAAAATTGAGGTCTCCCTGTTTCCCCGACTCAGGTTGGTTTGGCTGCAAAATGACAGCTTCCTATTAACATGTACAGAGGTGTCAAGAACCCAGATTGGGTTGGAGTGCAGAGCCTGGAGCTAGAACTGCAGGAGGAAAGGCTCGTTTGGTAGGGGTAGGGTCAGGCCAGATTGTTCCAGAGAGGGTGTTAGGCAAACTGGATCCCTCCCAGCTCCAGGAAGCCTGGGTGGCAGAGGTGGTAGGCTAGGTCTGCAGAGACGAAACCTTCACTGTGAGCAGCCTGCTCCTGTGGGAGGGAATGTCCCAGTCACAGGACAGCTGGCCTTTTCTTCCCAGCTGTGAAGGGAGAAGACAGCTGGCTGTTGGTTGCCCAGGGTCACAGAAATGTGAGTGGAGTTCTCTCAAGTGAGCCCTGAGCCCTGGAGTCTGACTCTGCACAGGGACCCAGGCTTTCTGTCAGCTTACAGTGGCTGGGGGTGGGGTGGGGGGAGGAGCACACTCTTACAGACTGTGTGGGTTACACTCAGGTGGTCATTAGAGGTGATGTATCCCATCCTGTGGCCCAAGTGAGGGGCCCTCATTCTTAGTCGCCCCCCACCCCCGAAGAGCACCAGGCAGTATCTGCAGTGGGACCTGGAGCAGTGCTGGGCCCCTCTGACACACTAGAGAAGACTATGCAGTGTCCCACAGACACTGCTTTGGGAAGGAGGGAACAGGGCACCAGTGATCTTTGGCCCAGGAAGGGACTTAACTGGTCCTGTGTAGCCAAAACTAGGATTTAAAGGGACCAATGCCCGGGAGACAGTGGGAGACTAATCAAGTGTGGTGAGCTCCTTGCGCTGAGGCACTCCCAAGCTGTGACCCGCTTTTATGGGGAGCCACACTCTCCATGACAGGGAGCACGAGGAGGGCAGGAAGGCAGGCATGGGGAGGAGTCTTAGGTGGGGTACTGTGCCAAGCTTGAAGGTCCTCTGCCATTGGGACTCAGAAGCAGCACTCTTCCTGAGAAATAACGGTGCAGCCTTGGCGAGCAGGGAGGGGGAACCGGGGTGGGGGTGTTCAGGGGGAGGCCCTGGGATCAGGTAGCTGCACAGATCTGCCTTACAGAGTCTGCTGAAGGCTGGCTATGTGACCCAGGAGGCTTGGGTGGGGGGTCTCATTAGAAGGAACTATTTGACAAGTTGGGGAGGATGGTGAGGTTGACTCCCAGGGACTGACCAAGAGGACAAGAAACCCTTAATCAGCCATGAATCACATCTTCAAAGCACTTAAACCTTTGATACTGCTGGCTCCCTCCTCTGTTGATCCTCCCCCTGAGATGGCTTGTCCCCAGGGAGCCTCTCAGCCCATTCCACTAACACAAGGGGCCCATATACATGTCTGTACAGCACCAGGTGTCAGCCTGGGTCTCCAAACCCAGCTGTGTCAGCCACATCCTGAACTACAGGATGTTGAGTGATTTTCATGGAAATCACCCACCCTGGTGGAAATCACCTAGGGCCTCTATCACCTTCTGGTATCTATGACAGTTGTGGAGGAGCTAGGGAAGTCCAGCTGCCATGGCAACCATACTGGGAAAATACAGAGCCCTGAGGCCACAGAAGGGAGACCTATTACAAGGGGAGGATGTGGAAGTGGTTGGGAGGCGGGCTTTCAAGGCCTGGGAGTTAGCTGCTTACCAGGGACCAGAAGTGAAGCCCAGATGTTCAGGCCAGTCAGACCCAAGACCTGCAGCCAGACAGCCCAGCTGTGGGGTACACAAACCACAGGAGCTTCTCTGGTACCAGTTAAAAGTCTTCTGACAGGCATGCAGTTGAATGCGGAGGGAACTTTGTGGATGGCTGAAGATCTGGGTTTGGGGAGAGGACAGGCCTATATCCAAACTTCAGGTCTTGCCTGTGATCATGTGACCTGGCTAAGTTCACACAACTCTCTGGGCCTGTGGTGAGGGACCAGGGATGGTTCCTGGGCCACAGGCCTGGTGGGAGGGTCGGAGATATCTTAGTCACTATGTTCTGTAAGTCAGTAACTGTTGAGCTGTGGATTGGAAAGATTTGCAAACTGTAGAATTCTATGATGCTTTTTCTTTGCTTTCTCTTTCTTTCCCTGTTGTTTGTCTTTTGAGTCAGGGTCTCATGTAGTCTAGGCTGGTCTCAAAGTAGCTATATAGCCAAAGATGACCTTGAACTTCTCACCCTTCAGCTGAGTTCTGGAGTGCTGGGATTGCAGGTGTGTACCACCATGCCCAGTTTAGGCTGGAGATTGACCTAGGCAAGATCTATACTAATTGAGTCACATTCCTGCCCACGAGACTTTTTGAAGATCATGCTGGGAGCTTTACTGGGAGGGAGGGATGGATGCAGGGACACTGCACTGGTTCCCTGGGTTGAGGAGGGAAGTAGCTAGCAGCCCAGCAACTGGTCCAGCTGGAGGAGGTGGGCATCCTGGGTGCAGCACTAAAGTCTCCCCTTGGGAGGCTGGGGGAAGAATACACTAAATGCTGCTATCAGGAAGAGGGGTGAGTGTGTGGCCTTCCTCTACACGGTGATCTCTGGGTTTTGCACAGGTAAGCAGGTGGTGGTGGCCAGCTTGTCCATACTGTGTCAGGGAAGGCATCAGGGACTGCCCTGTTCCCACTCTTGCAGATCTCACCTCGCCTGGGGCTAGCTAGATCTTTTGCAGTTAGCCCCAGAGCGAGGTGAGACCCAAAAGATCTCCCTCTGCACAGCCGGGCTGTTTGTGAGAAGCTGTGAGAACACAGCCTGTGTCCCCTGAAGCCTTCCTCTGCCTCATACCCCTGTGCTTCCTTACACCAGGTAACATGGGTAACTAGCTGAGGACTGTGACGTCCCAGGGAAGGGAGGGCAACTATGAAGGGTAGACAGCTCTGCACCCCACCCCTCTCACAGATGTGAGGACCTCAGCCTCTTGTGGCACTGCTGGCTGTAGGGAAGATAGCTTTGTCAAGTCACTGTAGCTGAAGCAGGCTTCTGGTTAGGGTCCCTCCCTACAGTCCCAGGACTTTCTGGAGAAACTGCCAGCCCACTCCACAAAAGCAAGACTAGGGCATGCTCAGCCTTCTATTTTTGCTTTCCCTAGGGTCCTAAGTCCAGCCTCTATGAAGACCAACCATGGGAAAAGTGTATTTATCATCTATATCCATACTCCTAGCTTTACTCCAGCTTCTGGGGACTCTAGCCCACACTCCACAGTTGAGGAAAGAGGCCCCAAGCTTGTGGTGCCAACACTTAACTCTGCAGGACAAGTAGGTCGGGGAGGAAACACTGTGTTCTATAGAGCATCCCCAAGGTCTTTCTGAGAAGCTTGGCAGGGGAGCTATCTGTGTTCTTGTACAGGGGAAACAGCATTCTGGGCAGAGGGGACAGAACAAAGACAGCAAGAGGTCTTGTATGATGGAGCATAACATGAAAGAGCAGGAAACCAGGGCCCGGGAGACCTGGGCAAATGGTGTGACACCCTGTAAGTCACTGAGAGGACATTGACTTATTTCCTTAAAGTTGTGGGAGGCCGCAGGAGGCTTTTCAGCATGGACAGGAAAGATGAATGGTTAAGGGACAGACCACAGGCTTATAGATAGTGGTGGCACTGACCAAATGGGCACTAGGAATTACCAGGAAGGTGGTTGAAATGCTCTGGAGCCATGAGTATGACCTGGGATTGCTGTGGTGGAGGAGGTGGTGTGTATCAGCATGAACATCTGTGAGACTCAGGTTCAAGGTCAGCCCTGACCCTCACATCTCTCTACAGCTGAAGCAGGAAGTGGGCAGCATGGTGATGAACATCATTCAGAACTACAAGGTCAATGCCAGCAGCAGCCGTGAGGAGAGCCTGCAGGAGGCTTGGGACTACGTGCAGGCGCAGGTGAGGAGGGCTGCTGGTGATACACGGCTGCACATCTGCAGTTTAATATCTGTACAGTGAGGTTGTGTGGTTCTAATGCTCCTGGGGATGGGACACAAGCGCTCCCCCCATACCCCTGTAGCACAGCCTTGGAGACAGCTCCTGGGCTCACAGGGTCAACTCTTGTTTGTTGGCTCTGGAAAGGTGGTCAATTCCTGGTGTCACAGAATAAGCGAGGCCTGCCTTTATCTGCTCACTGGGACAGATCCTGTGGCACCCACCCCAGGAGGCTCCAGACTTTCTGTCAGAATTCCTGACAGTTGCCCCGCGGGGTAGGGTTGAGGGAGGAGGGAGGAAGCCTGGAGTTCAGCTCCCCTGCGCATGCTTGGAGCGCCCCCTTCCGGCGGCTGCAGGTCTGAGTTTGGGTACACAAGATGGCCCAGAGGATGTCCCTCCCATTTGATCCCAAAGGGACCCACAGGCAGCATCTTGAGCTTCCATACCAGAAAGGCTTTCTGCCCTCTGGATGAGAGCATTTTGTCCTTTAAAACAGCGCAATTGATCCTGTCTCCTTTTCCCACTTTGTCTGACAACCAGGAAGCTCAGGGCCAGATCTCAGCCTTGACTGTCACTGGGCTCTCTGGACACATTTGTACACATTGTCTGCCTCACCCTGTGGGGACCTTAATTCCTATTCTTCATTCATGGAAACTTCAGCTCAGCTTGAAGTGACAGAACTGGGGTTTGAACCCAGGACCCGACCCCAGACCCCCACCTTTGCCACCAGCCACCCTCATATTCCACAAGCCTGTGCCTACTGGTCTTACCCTTGAGCTCCCCTCCTCCACTCTGTATGCGTGTGCTAACTGCTTCCCATTTGGGCTCTCTGCTGTGTTTGTAGTTTGTGTTACTTCTCAAAAGCCTCTTGTTGTCTCTCCTGATGCACAACACCTAAGTTCAACCCACACTCTACACCACCCCAGGGGGCTCATAAGTGGCCAGTCTGAGTCTCCCCCTGGTGGTGGGCTGCTCTGGATGGGCTGAGTGGTGGATCACAGCCTGTCCCCACTCTGTACAGGTGGAATGCTGTGGCTGGGCCAGCTTCTACAACTGGACAGATAACATGGAGCTCATGAATGCTACAGAGATCACTTACCCCTGCTCCTGCGAGATCACACAGGAAGAGGACAACCAGCACATTGTGAAGAAGGGGTTCTGCAAGTTTTCCAACAGCACCATGGATGAAAATCTCCCGGAAAAGTGGCCTGTGCACAAGGAGGTGTGTCAGGGTGGGGCTGGCAGCCAGGAGCGGACCCTCCTATCCTGAGAGGGCAAGTATTCCAGCCACTAGGATTTCCCGGGCTGTCACTCAGGCATCCTCTCCTTAGTCCCCTCCCTATTTGCTCACACCCTCACCTACAAGCATATGGGGGTCTGCTCTTGAGAGGAGGCCCTGGGCAAGCTCCATGCTGCAGTGCATGGTGGCTGATATGGAGTCTTCCCACAGGGCTGTATGAAGAAGGTGCAGGTGTGGCTACAGGAGAACCTCGGCATCCTCCTTGGCGTGTGTGTCGGTGTTGCTGTCATTGAGGTCCGTCCCTCCCCCAACCTTCTCCTGAGCTTTTTTCATTTGATTTTCGAGGCAGGGTTTCTCTGTAGCTTTGGAGCCTGTCCTGGCACTCACTCTATAGGCCAGGCTGACCTTGAACTCACAGAGATCGGCCTGCCACTACCTTCTGAGTGCTGGGGGTTAAAGGTGTGCGCCATCACTGCCTGGCTTAAAATGTGTAGCCCAGGCTGGCCTCCAACGCCTAATCCTCCTGCCTCCACCTCCTTCAGCGAATCCTACCAGCACGCACCACCACAACTGGATCCCTGGGCTTTTTTCTCATACTCCTCTTCCCATTGCCTCTGCACCTGCGGGGTGAGTGGTCCATGGGCCTCAGCCTCTCTAGCTGTGTGACATCAGCTAGGGCATTGCCCTTCTCTGGGCCTCCTTCAGCAGCCTGCCTGCCTCAGCTGGTTGTGCCTGGAGCCCAGTGTTGAGCTGGGTTAGGTAGGGTTCTGGGACCTGGGCCGGCCATCCTGATTTTCCCCTGTCCTTTACAGCTGCTGGGATTGCTCCTGTCCATCTGTTTGTGCCAGCACATTCATTCTGAAGACTACAGCAAGGTCCCCAAGTACTGAGCTGCTGATGTCCCCTCTGTCCTGTGTCTATCCACCTTCAGCATCCCATGGGGCCTCTCTGGCTCTTTTTCCCATGACCTGTGCTCCATCTACCACTAAGGGCTCTGGCCCATCCTGAGCAGGTTGGATTGAGGACTTTCTGGGACTGGATCCTTCTCCCTACCTCTCTGCCAGTATAGAGCTCCGGCTGTCCTGCGGCTTACTGTCTAGGGGTCTGTTAACAGCTTGAAATGGCTCCCAGTGTTACTGTGCAGGATGGCTGGGTCCCCACCCTGAAGTCATATTATATTGTAGTAAATACCAGGGAGGGTGAATGTAGCACCCGTGGCTGCCCAGGGACAGGCCAAGGGAAGATTAGTGCCCCCCACCGTGATTATACTTTTTGTGGGTTTTCCTGTGGGGGACAGAGAGAGTAGACAGCCCTTCTTCACACCTGACAGACCCCCACCCCCAACCGTGCAGTTCAGCAGGAGTTTGGGAGACCTGCCCCAGGCAGCTTCTAGTGAGCTCTACCTTGGTGAGGAACCCAAGTGCTTTGGGACATGGGTCCCTCATGTCTGGCACAGGACCCTGAGTTGTCTGTGGACCCTGTCCCCTGTCCCCTGGGCTAAGGGTGGGTGGTTGAGGCTGTGCCTTGCAGGGTGGGGGAGGGGCTCCATGTGCTCAGCTCTGAAATCAACTATTAAAGGAGGGTTTGTAACAATACAGCCTGAGGAGGCGTGTCCTAAATTATGGGGTGGAGAGGACATGGGGATGGCTGGAGGGAGACATAGGAATGACCCTGAAGGAATGATGTGGGGTTCCTGTGTTCCAATTTACCTTCACTGGTCCTTCCTCCTCAGAGATCTGGGTACAAGTGCTTGGAAGTGGGCTGTGGAGAGCCAGTGGCCTCTTTCTGGAGCATCGGGTTTCTATTAACACTCATAGAAGGAAACTTTTTCATAATTAGTAAAGCAAGTAGGATATGTGACTCAAGCATATTCAGCCTGGACAAACTCAGAGCCAAATGACATGATGAGGTCACACACACACACACACACACACACACACACACACACACACTCACGAGCAGATGGAAGGTGGGAGGGCGCCAGGTGAGTACTTCTCCCACTCACCTGTGGGGCCCTGAAGAACAGGGAAGGGCAGGCTGCAGGGGAGGGACCCTGGCCTCTTAGTGAGTGGCTTGCTAGGCTATGCAGGAGATGCTTCAGCAGAATCCACCAGGGGGTGCTGCTGCCCCATTTTAGGAACCCAAGGACCCAAAGATTCCTGTTAGTGCCTGCAGGCACCTGGCCTGCCCTGAGATTCTCTCAGTGAGTGGGAACTCGGAGAACAGTGCAGACTCTAGGGCCTGAGTTGTGTTGACAGGGTCTGGGAAGACTGAGCTACAGGTGAGTAAAAGAGAGAGTAGTGAGCAGGACTCTGCATGGAGAGCTAGGTCCCTGGTGGGAGAGAGATCAAGAGACTTTCTGTGGCTAGGGCCTCAAGAAGCCTGAGTTCCCTGGGAACTTCAACCTCTAGGACTCTTTTTTTTTTTTTTTTTTTTTTTTTTTTTTTTTTTTGAAGGCAGGGTTTAGCAGGTCTTTGCTGGGACCTGGATGAGCACTTACCATGTTTCAGGGTTAGGGTTTCTGAATAATGCTGGCTCAGCTTTCTCAATTGATAACCTTCCTTGTCCCACAAAGTGACATAATAAAACATAAATCTGGGCATAGTGACACACCTTTAATCCTAGCACTCAGGAGGCAGAGGCAGGAGAATCTCTGTAAGTTATAAGCCAGTCTGGTCTACATAGAAAATTCTAAGACAGCCAGGTTACACAATGAGACTATGTCTCAAAAACAAACAAACCATAATCTAGTATAAGAAAAATACTTAAAAAAACCTATAAAGTGGGGAGAAATAAACAGTCCAGTGGCTCATAGGTATCAAATGCACACAGCATACCTAGACTACTCTACATAGCTACATCCTCAGTAGACATCACCAATCAATCACAGATTCCGTTTTCTCAGACTAGGTGTTCTCTGGACGTGCTTAATGACCTACATCACTCATTGTTGCCTTAGATTCCTCAACTCAGTGCTATCAGTCAACCTCTTAGAACCAGAGTGAAAGTAGTTGCCATCCTTAAGCTCTCAGGGTTATGTCAAACCATGGATCATTCTACTTCTGAGCTTCCTGAGCAAAAAGGGAAAGCTTTGTCAGCTCTGAAGCCACCACCAGGGAAGGTGTGACTACGTGGACTTTAGAACCCAAGGCTACTGTGTTCCCTTCCCCAACCCTTGACAACTTTCCTGCCATTGGGCCACATAACCAAAAAGGAGCCTGCCGTGGGCCCAGCTGTGTGCTCCCCACTAACAGCAGGCATAGACACTGTTTGCCAACAGGGACCTGGAAAGGCCAGTGGCTAATGCAGGGTCCCAATTTTACTCAGCAGTTAGTGTTGAAATAGCATGTGCCAGAGCCCTGTTTCACAGATACTGAAGAGCCTGAGGTCAGTAAGCACTGCCCTAGCTGGCAGGGGTAGGGGGGTGGCATTTGGTGGCTTTGGTCCATGGTGGTTATGCCAAGGACACCCAGTCTCGTCCCTTGTAATGGTAGAAAGAAGGTTAGTCAAGAGGTCGCTGGGGCCTATCTCCAGCTCTCAGGCCATTCTATGAGAGCATGCTAGGCAAGATGGTGTTTTCAGCTAAGCTGGCTTAGTCTTGAGCTAGTCAGGGACCTGCATCAGGTATGGAGGAGTGAGGGTCAAGCTCACCTCAGGTCCATGTGGGGCCTGGAAAGGGTCTGATCATCTAGAGGTCTCATCATTAGGCCACAGGGAGGATGGTATCCCATCCCTGATCTGAGGAAGAGCATTGCTGCTGTGACAAGAGTGGCTAACTGAACTCAGGGGAGGCTACAGGACTCTAGGCAGGGCTCTTGGGCCTCTTTTTTCCCCTCAAGTGTAGAATTAAGCATGGTGGTGTGAGGTCATCAGCAAGGTGGTTGGCACCTGGGTATCCCAGGTTGCGCAGACCTATCCTGTCTGTGGGAGGTGGAGAGCTAGCTAGAGTCTTTGATGGTGACTGGAAGGTGGCTGCCAGTTAGACAGAGAATTCCTACCCTGTGGTTCTACCTAGGAGAGGAGAGAGTTCCAGGCAGGATTTTTGCCAGGGGTCTCTTAGTCCCTGGGGTTGGAGACAGTACACAGGGTGGGTCTCTCACTCCCAACTCTGTCTTGGCCTGAGGAAAGGGGAAGCTGAGTGTATGTTCTGAGACTGCCCCTCCACCCAGGAGTAGTGGCAGTCAGGTAAGAAAGTGAGTGTAGACTATGGTAGACTCAAGAGCATGCCATGGTCACAGGGTAGGGTACAGCTCAGGCTGACAGCTCTGACCTGCCCACTCTGCCTTAAGCCTTGTGCCTGCAGGGCACCAGAACCGGAAATGGAACCCATACTTCTGGCTTCAAAGGCTACCTGGGCCTCTGCCCCTGTCCTGGGAAGGAGGCAGAAGTCCAGGAGGCGCCCTGGTGACGGGATGCCCCAATGCCATATGTCCTCTGTTTGCTGTCTAAACACCAAGGGAATGACTCCATAGAGGAGTCTGGATCTAGGAAGAGTCTGGGGATCAGTACTTGAGCAGGCCCCAGACATTGGGTTTGCCCCACCCACCCCAGCCCCACAGCTCTGTCTACTGGGAGGAAATCTGGGGTTCCATTGAGCTTGGGGAAACCCCAGATAGTGTCATGCTGTCAAGCTATGAGTCTCTCTGTGTGAATTCTGGTCACTGTGACCTCTCATTGAAACCCTACCCCACCCCATGTCATCCTTTCCTTTCTTCCAGGCCTATTAAGCTCTGTCAGGAGGAACCTGGCCTTGGTCCCCCAAACTCTGGGGTGCTCTATTCCAGGACCTTGGGCTTGGCTCTCCAGACCCACTCCCTGGGCTGCTGAGCTTTCTAAGCTCCTACAAGGCCTTCCAGGGACAACAGTGCCACCTTTAGGCTGTTGTCCTCCCTGTCATGGTCCAGGTTAGGGACATGCTGGGCAGAAGCCTGGCACATGGACAAGGGCACCCTTGGTAGTGCCCAGCAGTGCCTGGGTCAGGCAGAACTGTGCCTTCCAGTCCCTGGGGAAGCCAATGGCAGTGCACGGGGGTGATGATAGGATAGATGCCGACTAGTGGGAAGGGTCTTAGTCTAGGATTAATCTTGTGTATGGGTTGGAAGGAAATGCAGAGGCTGAGGAGGCAGGCAGGTTGGGGGAATTTCAGTGGCCAGTGTGGAGTTATTTTAGTTTGATTATCTGACGTGGCTGGTAGGGAGGAGTTATTCTAAATGTCAGACCAGGGTGTGTATACATGCCCACATGCCACACCTGTGTGTGTCAAACCCTTGAAACCCACAAGGGCTCAATCTCTTCACAGCGAGGGGGAGTCCCAGCCCCATTCCCTTCAGACCAAGATTTGGGCTGCAGTGGGAGGGCCCTGCCAAGTCAGAGTACTCCAGGTATCTATCAGTTCCCAGACTGATCCTTCAGGCAGTCATTTCCATAGAGTGATGACAGAAGGGTGTTTGTGGCACATAGACCCTGGGTCAATTTCCTGGCTAGGGCTGATGCTTCTTCTGACCTCAGGAGGAGTAGCTGTCTATTTTTTGGGGTTTTCCAAACCTGTAGACTAAGGTAAATCCATTCATTCCATGAGTGCTTGCTGGTCACTGATGAGATTTACACTCTCCTAAGAACATAGCCATGCAGCTAGCAAGACAGCTCAGCATGTAACTGCTGCTGCTGAACAAAGATGCAATCCTTTGTTTGATCCCTGGGAACTCACACAGAAGTAGAAGGAATCAACTCTGTATAGTTGTTCTCTGCCTCACATGTTTCACTTTGTATGTATGCTCCCACACACTGATAATAAATTATATGTTAAAATACCCTCTCCAAAACCCATAGGAGCTGGAGAGATGGCTCAGTGGTTAAGAGCACTGACTGCTCCCTTGGATATCCATGGTCTTTGCTGCTTCCAGAAGCCATGTTGATATCCATGTCCTGTGATGCTGCCAAGGACGGTGATGGTGTCTGTGGTCTGTGCTACAGCTGATGACCATGATGGAGTCTGTGATCCTTCAGCAGCTGGGGGCTGACTTGATGTCTGTGACCTGAGTCACCAAAGGCCATGTGGATATCCATGGTCTGGGCTGCCACCTGAAGCCATGCTGATGTCCATGAGTTGTGCTGCCACCAGGGGCCATGCTGATGAGTGGTCTGTCTGCCACCAAGGGCTATGATGGTGTCCATGGCCTGTGATATGATAGAAGGCTGTGTTGATGTCCGTGGTCTGTACTGTCACAGGAGACCATACTTAGGTCTATGGCATGTGCCGACACCAGAGACCATATGGATGTCCATGGTCCTTGTTGTCACCATAAATCATGTGTGAGTCCATGCTCCATGCTCCTGCTGACTGTAAAAGGCAAGGAAGCTACTTACGCAGAGACACTAGAGGCTTCTGTGACAACCCCTACCCACATCCCATCCCCCCAAAAGTAACAGCCTAGACAGAAAGCCATTGTAGAGCACTCTTGAAAATTGTGGTAAGGATGCTGAAATGTAAGTCTTCACAACTGATGGCTTCTGGGAGCGGGGAGGACAGGGAACTCAGTTGTCTGTCATGGGCTGACTACTGGGAGTTTGACCAAGCTCCAGTAAGTACACGT